ACTGAGCATTATATTCTCACCTATGTTCTAACTGGGTCTTTGTATAGCTGTAGCATGGCTTCTTACCTCATTTATCCAAATCCTCTAATCCATTAGTTTATTTTGATTGTTCTCTGTATTGTAAATGACACTTCACTGACCTGAACCCCCACGTCTATTGAACCTCCACTGCTGTTATTATTTTATCATGGAGAAACTTAGCAACAATGTATTTAAGGAGTCTGGAAATGAAAGGGAGATTGGAAATCGACTGGTAGTTTGTAATGACAGTGACTCATTCATATTATCTATAAATGTATGTTTATCTTTTTCCTTCTCCCTTGATCACAAGAACTTGCACACAGCTACTATTGAAATTTACACTTGAAGAAAAGAACTGGGCAGAAACAGCAGCTTGCTTGTGGGTGGCACGGTGGCTCAGTGGTTATCACTACTGCCCCACAACGCCGGGGATTCCACCCTCGTGCAACTGTCTGTGTGGAGTTTGCAGGTTCTCCGCCTGTCTGCGTGGGTTTCCTTTGGGTCCTCCGGTTTCCTCTCGCAGTTCAAAGATGTACAGGCTAGGTGGATTGGCCATGCTAAATTGCCAACAGTGTTCAGGGATGTGTAGATTAGATGGGTTATGTGGGACGGGTCTGGGTGGAATGCTCTGAGGATTGATGTGGACTTGTTGGGCCAAAGGGCCTGTTTCCATACCCTAGGTTTTCTATGAAGCACTTATGTATGGCATCAGAGTATACAGCCTGGTTGTGGTATAAGGAAGAGTTGAATAGCTTAGGCCCATACTCATCTCAGTACAAAGAATAAGAGATGATTTTATGGAAATATATAAGGTTCTGAAGGGTTTGACATGTTAGAATATAATGATGTTTTCCTTCAGGTATCTAGAGTTATGGGACGTGGTTTAAAAATAAGTCTATCTTTTAAGATGGGGCTAAGGAGGTATTTCTTCTCTCAGAGGCAATTTAATCTTTGAAATGCCCAAACGAAGAAAGCAAGAGGGTGTGAGATGTTGATGATATTGAAGGCTGAGTTCGACAACTGTTTGATTTACAATGGAGTCAAGGACAACTGGGGAAAGAAATTGGAGGTAATGCCACAATCAGGTCAACCATGGTCTTAGTGAGTGGCAGAATAGGCTTGGTGGAGAAAGGCAAATTACATACTCCTGCTCCAACTTATGTTCATTTGGTTTGCGTCCATGGAAGATGAATCCAAAATATCCATTCTCAGTCAGAATTGGACAGGAGGAAAATGTTCAGAAGAGACAATTTAGAAATATACTTTTAAAGAAACATTTGCTAATTGATAATCTTAATATTACAGATCCTTCCAGTTCAATGCACCATAACAAAAGTGGAGGCGATATGAAATCAGTTTTTTCTTGTATAATGCTATAACAAATCAAACAAAACTGCTTCTGTAAAATATATCCATTTTGTAACTATTCTGCATGAAGAACAAACCTAAAATATTGCCGTAATTTGAGTGCCCTTCTCATATTCTCACTGAAGCCTGTAAGTATTTGTACGCACTTGTAGATGTGTTGCAACTGTTAACACATTTCCAGGCAGCCTCTTCAAATTTAAATATGTTCCTGATGACTCTTCCAAATATCGCTACACCCCTGGGGAACCTCTGTATAGTCTGATAAATTTCCAAGGAACTTAAACAAATGTTGGCTCTTTCTGACGCCTCATGATGGAAAGAGAATCAATTTGTCAAGGGAAACAATTTTGCTCTGCCAGTTTGTTTTATTTCAATGTAGACCAAAAACAATAAATGGTGCAGTCAACAAATACAAAGTTAGTTAGAGACAAAAAAAAAAATTGCTTATGCTGGAATCCAAGGTAGACAAACAGGAGGCTGGAAGAACACAGCAAGCCAGGCAGCATCTGGAGGAAAGGAGAAGTCAACATTTCAGGTATTACCATTCTTCAGGACTGGATATGGGGGTAGGGGGATCTGCAGATAAAGGGTGGGGAGAGATGGGTAGTGGAATGGTGGTGATAGGTAATAGGTAGTAATAGTTACATACAAAGTTGGGTGACCTTTACAGAGCAGAGTTCAGTGGAGGCTATGAAGACATGTTTAGGAATTTGGCTATTCTCTTTCTGGAAAAGCAAGCAAGTAACAAACAAAGTAATTAAAAAAAATAAATAGACATGAAACTCATATATTCTGACAGATTGTAGAGCAAATGTACGATTAATCGCAAGAGTTGTACCTCAAAATAAGTAAGAAGAAATTTCATAATACAGAATTAGGTAAAGGGGGGAATGTTGACATTTGAAACTGGCTTGATAGACCATTTGGTTTTTTTTTCCTACTTGTCAGTTTTGTGCATTGCCTGTTCACATGAATGAAATATCTATCTATGATAAGATTGTATGCTAGGACTAAACTGCCTGCTGACACTGGAGTAGGAATCTATCTGATTGTTGGTTTTTAAAAAAAGATCAGTGCACAGATTTTTAGAGAATGGAGCAGATTGTCTTGGGTAGGAGGGTTAACAATGACAAGGATGCAGAGGTGCTTCAGTGTGATTTGGACAAGTTAAGTGAGTGGGAAAATGTATGGCAGTTGAAGTATAATGTGGATAAGTGTGAGGTTATCAACTTTGGTAGCAAAAGCAAGAAGACAGATTATTATTTGAATGGTGGTAGATTGGGAAAGGGGGACGTGCAAAGAGACTTGAGTATCCAGTCAGTGAAGGTAACTATGGAGGTGCAGCAGGTGATGAAGAAGACAAATAGCATGTTGTCTTTCATAGCAAGAGGATTTGAGTACAGAAGCAGGGATATCTCGCAGCAATTGTACAGGACCATGGTGAAACCACACATAACTTACCGTGTACAACCTTGATCTCTGTATCTAAGAAAATATATTCTAACTTTGGAGGGAGTGCAAAGTTTTACCAGACTGATATCTGAGATGGCAGGACTGCCTTATGAAGAGAGACTGGATCATTTGAGATGATATTCACTGGAGTTTAGAAGAATAGGAGGATCTCAAAGAAACCTATAAAATTCTAAAAGGATTAGACAGATTAAATGCAGGAAGGAGGTTCCCGATATCCAGGGATCCTAGAACCAGGAGTCATAGTCTAAAGATATGGGATAGGCCACTTAAGACCGAGATGAGCAGAAATTTCTTCATGCAGAGAGTAGTGAGCCTATGGAAGTCTCTGCCACAGAACGTAGTTGAGGCCAAAACATTGACTGTTTTCAGGAAGGAGTTATATGCAGTTCTTAGGGTTAATGGGATCAAAGGGTATGGGGACAAAGTAGGAATAGGGAACTGAATTGGATGATCAGCCATGATCAAATTGAATAGCAGAGAAGGCTGAAAAGACTAAAGGGCCTACCCCTAATACTGTTTACTATGTTTCTATGTCCTCTTCTTGGTGGTGGGGATAATAGATCATAACCCAAAATGGAGTGCAAGCTGTAATTTGGAGTTTGTGAGTTCTGAGAATCTTCGACTGAGTGAAGTAAGACAGTAAAAATGGTAGACCTTAGTTGCTTTCAAAATAAAACATCACAACCATCATAATTCTGTCTTCCAGGTTCCCCCAACCCTTCCAAGTTTGCCACAACCCTCTCCCTTGCTGTTACAGAATTGCACCCCCATATAGCATAAGCTATACGTGTAGTTATACATTCAGAAAGTCATAAAGCATAGGAACAGACCCTTCAGCCCATCATATTCTTAGGGCTAGTGGGATCAAAGGGTATGGGGAGAAAGCAGGAACAGGGACCTTGTGCACCAGTTGCTGAAGGTAAGCATGCAGGTGCAGCTGGTGGTAAAGAAGGCAAATGATATATTGGCTTTCTTTGCAAGAGGTTTGAAGCATAGGAGGAGTGATGTGCTGTTGCAGTTATACAGGGCTTTGGTAAGGCCACACCTGGAATATTGTGCGCAGTTTTGGTCTCTTTTTCTGAGGAAGGGTGCTCTTGCTCTCGAGGGAGTGCAGTGAATGTTTACCAGTCTGATTCCAGGGATGGCCGGACTGACATATGAAGAGAGATTGACTATGTTAGGATTGTTTTCGATGGAGTTTAGACAAATTTGTGGGGGGTCTCATAGAGCCTTACAAAATTCTAACAGGACTAGACAGGATAGATGCAGGAAGGATGTTCCCGATGGTGGGTGTGTCCAGAACCAGGGGTCACAGTTTGGGTATTCGGAGTAGACTGCTTAGGATGGAAATGAGGAGACATTTCTTCACCCAAAGAGTGGTGAGCCTGTGGAGTTCATTACCACAGGAAGTAGTTGATGCCAAAACATTGAATGTACTCAAGATGCAGCTAGATTGGGTGAATGGGATCAAAGGTTATGGGGAGAAAGCATGATATGGCTATTGAGTTAGATGACCAGCCATGATCGTGATGAATGATGAATCAGGCCTGCAGGGCCAAATGGCCTCCTCCTGCTCCTATCTTCGATGTGTCTATGCTTCTATTATGTTTCTATTATGTTGAATGACAGAGCTTTTCTTTGATTATATTAACTATTACTTGAAACAGGAAAACAAAAATCAAGTTGGTTCCCTTAAAACTCTATATACTTTCTCATTCAATTTCTCTGTACTAACTGTGTGCAAATAATTCAATTGCTGTTAATGGAGGAGAGATTATTGAGTTACAATTTACACATTTGTAAGGAAAACAGCAGAGGGCACTTTCAGCAGTGGGTTTATAATAGTGTTACACTGGATAGACAAATGAATTCTTGCCACATTGCCTTGCTGCCCAGGGGTGAATGGACATTTTGAACTGACCACAAGCTGTGCAGCTCCAAACACTCACAAAATGCAGTGGTGATGACATATTATTGTTCCCTACATATAAGGTTGCTCGATGCATTACAAGTTAAAAAAAATCAATTCTTTGGAAACATATTAGTAATTAATTTTTATCCAGTATACATCCCATCCACCTACACAGTGTGTAACATTGTGGGAAACATGTGATGTAGACTCAGTGAAAGACCTGACCTTAAGTTGATTTTTTGGAACATGTTTTTCCCATAAGATATTTCTTTCTGTTTCTTTCTGGTTTTAACAGGATTATGTAACATGTTTTTCCCATAAGATATTTCTTTCTGTTTCTTTCTGGTTTTAACAGGATTATGTAACATTTTGGAGCAAAAATGCAGATAAGCAGACCAAAGCTCGATGCCAAAATAGCAAAGGTTTCAACAGTGACAGAGTATTTTCCAGGAGAACTGATATAGGCTGGGATAAAAGTCAACCAAACTGCACAGAAAATCAGCATGCTAAAGGTGATGAATTTAGTCTCGTTGAAGTTATCTGGCAGCTTTCGAGCTAAGAACAGAAGGACGAAGCTCATGTAGGATAAAAATCTGATGTAAACCAGCATACAGCAAAATGCCGTCACTGAGCCTAAATCACACTCAAAAATAATCTTCTCGTTGTAATATTTGGTCTGCTTTACTGGAAATGGTGAAGACATGCGGAGCCACGCAACACAGATTACAACTTGGACAACTGTGCAGGCCAGGATGCTGAGCAGTTGCTGCAGAGTTCCAAACCATTTCAGCATGTTATTGTTGGGAACAGTAGCTCTAAAAGCCAACAGTACAACCAGGGTTTTGGCCAGTACACATGAAATGCAGAGAACAAAATTGACCCCAAACAGGGTGTGCCTCAGCTTGCAGGACCTGACTGATGGTTGGCCAATAACAATCAGCGAGCACAGGAAACATAATATCAATGAGAAGAGAAGAAGGAAACTGAGTTCAGAGTTGTGGCCTCGAACGGTGGGAGTTTTCCTGTAATACCAAAGGACTCCTGCAACAGACACTGTGCTAGCTGTGTAGGTTGGGCCAATCTTCTGGAGCTCAAGGAGCACATTTTAGTGAATCTGAGATAATATGAACAGTATATAAGCAGCTTGCAACCCACAAAAACATTATTTTACGTACATTTATACTTTCCTCTAATTTTACTTTTTACATATTTCTCAGGTCAAGAGAATAATTTGAGTCTATTTTAAGATATTTGTCAGCTTTAGCAAGTGGCATGAAAACACTGCTGGGAAAGGAAATATATTTCCTTTTCAAACACTCAGTTCCAGCATTGACAGGTATAGCCCATAATAAAACTCCAGTTGTCTTGACTCTATGCCAACTATGCACAGCCCACAATACTACTCTGAAACACTTTGCCTCTTCTGTGTTTGTGACACCTCTTAGTGAAATTGCTTTTCTTTTGTTAGTTTGAATTAAATTAGGGGAGTTTGCAGGACAGCAGACCCACATCCATGAGGAATCAGGTGAGAATGTCTCACCTACTCAGAAAAAAGCCTTTCATCCATGCCTTGACTTGACTCAAACCCTGATTTTAATTTTTTTTTATGCTGTGTAAGACGTAATATTATTTAAAATGGAATTGGATCAGTATTTGAAGAATAAGAACATCAAAGGATACAGAGAATGTGATTGACGAATGTGACTAGGACAGTCAGCTTCATTTCATGTCAAGGCACTGTTTGGTACGTGCAGGCCTGGGTTATGGCTACAGGTGAGCTAACAAACAGAACGTAGCCTGAACTCAAAATACTTCCACATATGTAAACTGCTGTGGGTGGCTGGGTTGTGACCTTGACCATGATTGTTTAGCAGATAACTCTTTCTTTGCTGACATATAATGGGGATAACAGCAGCACCCTTATTGTTGCCCCCATTGGGATAAACTAACTCAACAGGGTCAAAATCCAGGTATTTCCAGTCCATACAGATCAGTGCTATTTATCTATGGTGTTATGGTTAGAAGAAGGAATCATATTGAACAGTGGGCAGCTGATCTCTTGCACCTGTGTTGGTTCTTTGAAATGGGTTTCTAATTCACTCCCTCCCCTGTTTTCTCTCAACCATGCAACCTTTTTCTCTGTTTTATTCATGTATCTTACTCCATTGTGAAAATTACTGCTGAATTACTTTCACCAGCCTTTTGGCAGTGCATTGCAGATGATATCAACTCATTACAAAATACATATTCTCTGCATTTCTGCTCGCATTCAATGAATTGCAGCAGAGAATTATTTTGAAACCTACTCATGGTAACAAACAACCATAAGATGTGTACCTATTTCAGTACTAATCTCTCCGTCAGCACATGGTAGACAGTCAAAGCAGCAGATCTGTTCCCCATTTCGAATTGCTTTCCTTGATCCAGCAGGGCAACTTTTACTGCACAATGACTCAGGGGGCTGAAATATTAATGAAAAAGAAATGCATAATTTCACAGCGAGGAACTGAGTAAATTCTAGTAACCATGAGGAAAAGATTACTTCTCGATATATCGTGTTACTGACAGTGTAACACAGGAGCCATTTCCCCTATATTTGTGATATCTGATAAAAGTATAAAAGGATGCTCTAATGTTTCATTGACAGTAAGGATCAAAAGAAATGCTCTGATTTGAGTCATAACTGATCGGAGTTTTTTTCTATGGGTGTGACTGTGAAATTGCTCAAAATATCTTTAAAATTCCATGGTGGCATTAAACTTCAAGTTTCTTGTAAAATGCCACAACTAATTTAAAATTGTTGATGAACCAGTGCAATCAGGCAACCTAAGCAAATTTAACTGATTATTTATGTCACTGTTTGATTAAAAAAATCTCTTAAGAACAGCAACTCTGTACAGTTTATCTTACAACTGAAGTTAATTCTTATCACTTAAAATAAGTATTCTTAATCTGTGATTAACCTAATTTAGAATAACTGTAAATTACCTTTAAAGTACTAGGTTGAACCATTTAGTTTCATTAGTATACACTAGTCAGTTTCATAAAAACCCATCACTGGACTGACAATTCAGGGACCTATGTTAAAATCCTACATATAGGGGTTCAAATTCCACCTCAGTAGGTGGTCAAATTTAAGTTCAATTTGTTAAGGTGAAATATAAGACAAGTCTCAAGAATAGTGGAGATGAAACTTTCTTGAATTGTTTACTAATGCTTTTTAAGAAAAACACAAATCTGCTATCCTCACCCAGCCTAGATGTGATTTCAGAACCATAGAAATGCGTGTGACTTTGAAATGGATGGTAAACTGAAGAGTTCAAAAGCAATTAGAGGCTGGTATTTTGATCACAAAAGTCCACAGAAGTGCTGTGGTTTTTTTTTTGCATTGATTCTTTCTAGAAATTATATGAAACCATAAGAGGGAGGAGCAGAACTAGCCATTAATACCATTCTCTGCTATTCAGTGTGATCAGTGGATAATCCTCAGTTCTACTTTCCTGCCTTTTCCCTATAACCTTTGATCCCCTTCCTGATTAAAAATCTGCCTACTGCAGACCCAAATATACTAATCAATCCAGCCTCCACAGTCCTCAGCCATAAGGAAATCTACAGATTCACTCTGCTCTGAAAAAAGAAATTCCTACTCATCTCTGTCTTAAATGTGCAACTTCTTCCTCTGAGATTATGCCCTCTTTCCTAGACTATCACATAAAGGGAATAACTTTTCCATATGTGCCGCGTCAAGTTCTGTAAAAATAGTGTCGACAAGGAAAAATCTCGTAAGGTCACCTCTCAATCTTCTAAATTCCAATAAGTAGAGGCCCAACCTACTTAACCCCCTCTCATAAGGCAGTTCCTCAAGATAAATACTAGAGCTGATCATTTATATCTCATTGAGAAATTCACTAACCAGTTCTTAGAAACTGTTTACTCAAATTGTCTTAAGGTTTCTAAAAGTTGGATTTTACAGTCAATAGAATAATGGCTGTTGCTGCTCCTTAAAAACAAGCTTAGGGTTTTTGATGCGATGAACATCACAAATCTATTCTGTTTATTGGTTTTGGTAAAAACAAGCCTTGAAACTGGATAAGTAATGACTTACTTTAACTTTCCCACCAGTCCAGATGATCATCTTTTCATTTAGGACAAGGTCTTGGCCTGAATTTGAAGTTGCATCAAAACGTCCCATGTGCACAAATTTGACCGAGCCGTTTTCATTCTTCTGCCAGTTGACAACATTGTATGTTGCAACAGTGTCGCCATTGTCATCAAAATAGACCTCTTCTCCCAATTTACTGGTGTATTTTACTTTTTTCAAGTAATGTAAGAGCTTAGTGAAAAATTAGAAGTTAGAATTGTCAACATCATTACAGAACTACTCCATAAAATCAGAAACTATCTAAGTTACTGTTCATTAATGAATTATTTCAAAATTCTGCCATTCCTTCATTTGCATCTTCATTCATATAACATTGCAGAGACAGTGATGTCCTAGGAAAGCTGTGCAAAATGAGGGAAAACAAATCAACAGATCTTTTAACACCTCACGTGATGGGCGGAACTCAATGTACATATTTGGGGTCCCAACCACCATCATTGCAACTACCAAGTAATCAAGTATTTTTCTGAACACCTTGATATTTAAGCCCTGAGAGGAGCTGAAATCCCATCCCTTGAGAAATCTCTGCTGATCAAAGGCTGGTAAGTCTCCAATACCAGCTGATACAACATCTACCTGGAGCATCAATGGTAAATCCCTTGATTGAGGCACATGTGGGCAGGGAGATGTTGCGGGGTTGATGCCACCAGCAAAAGAGGGAGGTCCACTGAAAGCAATGGTGAGGTATGTCTTTCATGATCGACAGTGGGCGCCTGTGAATAAGGGACTCACCTGGTAGGCTGCTGGAAAACCTGACTGATTTTTCTGTGTGGTCTCTCCTAATGGCAAGTCCCCTCTCTTGCCTTTGGTTGAATACCTACTTAAGATACTCAGTTGGCCTCTGGATGGGAAGGACATCTTCTCAACCATCCCCCCTCCCCTACCATGCTGATTTTGATCGGGGGAGGCAGAATGGTGGTGGATACCCACCTTGCACTTTCTACCCAATTGAATGGCCTCCTCCTTGGCTCTGAATTCACTTGTGGAGATGTGGGGGGAGGGATCATCAAATTACACCCATTGTTTCTTTTATATTGACTTCGATATTTTTTGTTTGTATTTTTAAATTTTTTAAGTTTGATTTTAGTAACAGAAAATACACCATTTTGCCTATATCATTTATCAATGCATCTCAATCCCAATGTTTGGTATTATACTGAAAGAGCATAAAGCATGTTGGGAAAGCCTGAGGTTGCGAAAGGCACTATATAAATGTAATTTCTTTTTGATATTTATTGACCATACACCTTATTGTTAAATCTGATTTACTAAGTTTACAAAAGGTTTTAAATGGAGACAATTCTTTTCGAAGCTCAGTTGAGTGTAAACAATTCATACTGTTTGTTTTGGCATGCTGCTTTTATGGCATTTTCTGACAATAACGTATAAAACAATAGACATCGCATTTTGTAATATTTGTAGTTTACCATATTCTGATTGCTATGACGAAAGTATTCAAAATCCTATTTTCTTTCTATACTCTCATTGCAAATAAAATTCGCATTAGCAACCTCCACTAAATCTCAGTCAGTTTCAGGACTTAAATAATAAAAATCCTTGCCTTTTTCTCTCCTAAAAGCCTGTAAACGTAACAACAGCTAACTTGACCTCAACTTTTGCAATGTGTGGGAATCAAGCAAAGTCCATCAGCGAATGTTTAGGACTATGTTACATCACTAATTCAGAAAAATTCCTAGTCACCCGATTCTGGGATGGGGTCAGATGTACTGTCATAGGAAATCGCTACCCATATGACCTGACACCAGCTGGTGCTGGGTTTCCTACATGAAGTGGGCTGCCCTCCCTGCCCAAGGCCCTTTATAAAATATTGACTGATGCTGAATGAGAATGTTAAATGTGGGCAAGCCAACTGATACCTCACCATTTTAAAACTTCAGATGGGCAGGTAGGAAGGGTATCTGCTGGATTTATATGACCTACCTCACCTAAGCAGGGAAGGGAACCTCTTCCTCACCCCATTTGTTTATGGCGTTATCATCTCCCTGCACCGTGGATTATTTTTCTTGTGCCATTTAATCACTCTTGCCCTATCTTGCCCCATCTGTCCTTTACTTGTCCCCAGTTTCACTACTACTGAACTTGCTCAAAAGTTCTTCATCTCTTAAAGCTTCCAGATTTGATGAAATGTTATCAACCTGATGTGTAAGCTATGTTTCACAGAAACATAGAAAATAGAAGCAAGAGTAGGCCATTCAGCCCTTTGAGCCTCCTCTGCCATTCAGTATGATCATGGCTGATCATCAACTCGGTACCCTGTTCCTGGATTCTCCCCATATCTTTTGATCTCTTTAGCCCTTAGAACTATTTCTACCTTCTTTTGAAAACATTCAATATTTTAGCCTCAATGCCCTCTGTGCCTGAGAATTTCACAGCTCGCCACTCTCTGGGTAAGAAATTTCTTCTCATTTCAATCCTAAATGACATAAGCTGTATCTTTATACTTTGACCCATGGTTCTGGACTCCCTGGTCATCAGAAACATTTGTTCTGCATTTACCCTGTCTAGTCCTGTTAATATTTTATAGTTTTCTACGAGAATCCCCTCGCTTTTCTAAACTCCAGTAAATGCACACACACACACACACACACACACACAATATAGTCTGAAACAATCTAGTATCTCTTAATACGTCAGTCCTGCCATCCCAAGAATCATTTGGTAAACTTTCATTGTACCCCCTCCATAGCCAAGACATCCTTCCTTAGAGAAGGAGACCAAAAATGCACAGAATGCTACAGTTGTAATTTTGTCAAGGTCCTATAAAATTATAGCAAGATATCCTGGGTCCTGCACTCAAATCCTCTCACAATGAAAACCAATATACCATTTGCTTTCTTCACCACCTGCTGCACCTGCACACTTGCTTTCAGCACCTGGTGCATGAGAACATGTAGATCTTGTCACATTTCCTTTTTCCCAGTCTATCACCATTCAGATAATAATCTGCCTTATCTTAATAAAACAAAGAATATAGATGCTGGAGATCTGAAACAAAAACAGAAGTTGCTGGAGAAACTTAGCAGGTCTGACAACATCTGTGGGTTCACAGCAAAGTTAATTTATTGGCTCCGATGATCTTTCTTCAGAAGCTAATGATCTGCCTTCCTACTTTTGCTACCAAAGTGGATAACCTCACATGTGTCCATATTGTACTTCACCGGCCGTATGTTTGCCCACTCACTCGTCTTGTCCAAATCACACTGAGACATATTTGCCTCCGCTTGACAGTTCACCCTCCCACTCAGCTTTGTGTCATCTGCAAATTTATTGACTGTTTCCAATGATTTCTGTTGTTGTTTCTTTGAATGTGAGTTTCGTGACTGTTGTCTCTATGTAAAGATGAAAATGTTATACCTGAATGTCCTCCTGATCATGTAATTGACTTTTAAGCACTGACTACACATCAAACCCATACAGATGAAGTAAAGCCCTCAAATTCTTTAATTTATAATAATAATTGTGATATAATCTGTCATCTGAATGTTTCTTTTTTTCCAGTAGATGTTTATGCATAACTTAAGATGGCTGTATATCTGCACTAATTAGAGATAGTAGGAACTGCAGATGCTGGAGAATCCGAGACAAGAAGGTGCAGGGCTGGATGAACACAGCAGGCCAAGCAGCATCATAGGAGCAGAAAGGCTGACGTTTCGGGCCTAGACCCTTCATCAGAAAAGGGGGAGGGGAAGGTGGTTCTGAAATAAATAGGGAGAGAGTGGAAGGCGGATAGAAGATAGATAGAGGAGAGGATAGGTGGAGAGGAAACAAACAGGTCGAAGAGGCGGGGATGGAGCCAGTAAAGGTGAGTGTAGGTGGGGAGTTAGGGAGGGGATAGGTCAGTCCAGGGAGGACGGACAGGTCAAGGGGGCGGGATGAGGTTAGTTGGTAGGAGATGGGGGTGCAGCTTGAGGTGGGAGGAGGGGATAGGTGGGAGGAAGAACAGGTTAGGGAGGCGGGGACGAGCTGGACTGGTTTTGGGATGCGGTAGGGGGAGGGGAGATTTTGAAGCTTGTGAAATCCACATTGATACCATTGGGCTGCAGGGTTCCCAAGCGGAATATGAGTTGCTGTTCCTGCAACCTTCGGGTGGCATCGTTGTCGCACCGCAGGAGGCCCAGGATGGACATGTCGTCTGAGGAATGGGAGTGGGAGTTGAAATGGTTCGCGACTGGCAGGTGCAGTTGTTTATTGCAAACCGAGCGTAGGTGTTCTGCAAAGTGGTCCCCGAGCCTGCACTAATTAGCTCCTTTATCCCATGTCTCCTTGGAGACAATAAGATGAAAATAAGATCTTGCTAGATAAGTACTCATCTCCTGAGGGAGCAATGATTTTGTCAGTGTTGTTCAAGGAGTTTTACATTTCACCTGAGTTCCATTGTGCCTGATTATTTGTAGATGCCATTGAATGTTTTGCTTAATAAACGCATTGTTACAAAAGTAAGTTTCAATTTTAAAATACTAATAAAACCTTTATGATAATGATGCAATATTTGTAAAACAAATTGGGATAGTTTTCCCTTTAGACATGGGTAAACAACTGGCCTTTACTTCTCAAATTCAATTTTTGTTGCTTATATGATCTGGATATTTTATCCCATAACATCAAAATTTTGCAAAACAATTAATGAGTGGTGAAATTCAACTTGTAACAAAGGCACCATGTGGGTTCAGTCATACTTGGCTACCTGCCATACAAACAACACTTCTGAAATAACTGTTGTAAAGGAAGGGGAAGTTTGGAGTAACGGAATAGAAAAACATTTATGTAAATATTAATCTCCTAAATTCCAGATACATTCATTTTATCTTCAGAAACTTAAATGAAAGTACCTTTAGTCAATCTATTCCACTACAAAATTATGAATGAGAAAAGATTTTAATGAGCTAATCATTGGCTAAATATACAAACTAAATATTACTGTATTAATTCAATTCATCAAATTCACCACTCTTGCTTCTGACATCCATCCTTTCTCAACTTCACTTGGTCTATCTTCAACAATCCCCTTCCTTGGGTTCACTGTTCTTATGTCTGGAGACAAACCCATTGTCTCCCATAGGTGCTTTAACTACACTTTCTCAGACTCTGCATTCCGAAAGAATTCCATTCTATTTTGCCAGTTTCTCCTTCTCCATCACATCTGTTATAATGATGCTGCTTTCTACTGCAGTGCTTCTTGCATCATGTCGTCTTGTTTCTCAAACGGGAACCCCATCTCGCTCCACTTTAGTTGACAAGGCCTTTGATCTGGTCCAACCCATTTCCTGTACTTTTGTCATCACAACTTCTCTTCCCTCCCAAAAGCACAATTGGGGTCCACCTTGTCCTCGTTTTCTCCCCAACCAATCTCTGAATTCAAAAAATCATTCTCTGCCATTTCCGCCATTCTTGCATGATGTCACCACTGAACACATCTTCATCTTCCTCTGCTAACAACATTCTGTAGGGAGCATTCCCTCTGCAGCATCCTGTCCTCCCATTCCCTTTCTGCACAATTGCAAGAGGTTGCCTTCCTACCTCCTCCCTCATAATTAGCCAGGCTCCAAAAATTCTTCCAGGTAAATGGTGATTGAATTTAATGTCTTTCAATTTCAACAATATGTAGTCACTGCTCTTAAAGCAGTTGGAGAGATCAAATGAAAGACTGTATGAACATTTTGCAGAATACACCTATTCAGTCCACAATCATAAACTCGAGCTTCCAGTTACTTGCCATTTTAATACACAATCTCATTCTCATGCTCATATTTATATCCTCAGCCTGCTGCAGCATTCCAGTGAAGCTCAATGCAAGATAAAGGAATAGCACTTTATTTTCTGATTAGGTAATTTATGGCCTTAGAGTCATA